AATAAGACAATATAAACAATTTTAAAATCCACAACAGTCACAATTAAGACAGGGCTGGGTGCTTTAACAGCCCGCAGCCTGCCATAACAGCCAGGACTTAGTAGCTTTACGGAAGGCCGGGAGGGTAGTAAGGGTCCGGATCTCCACGGGGGAGCTCGTTCCAGAGGGCCGGAACAGCAACAGAGAAGGCTCTCCCCCGGGGGGTCACCAACCGGCATTGGCTGGCAGATGGAACCCGGAGAAGGCCAAGCCTGTGCGATCGAATTGGTCTTTGGGAGGTAATTGGCAGGAGGCGGTCTCTCAGTTGGTGGAATGCAAGGTAGACTCCAGATTACAGGTTCTAGCTTGCATACATATTATGGAAATATTTAGAATAAAACAGGGTTAGATTATGCTCACATAAATTGGCCAAACTGTATCAAACTGATTGGTATTTCACCTTTACTATGAGCAGGGAATGTTGCATAAGGTAGGATCCAACTAAGGCTAATATAATTTTTCTTTATGTCATGATTTTTTTTGCCAAGATGCAGCATATTCCATACTAGGAATCATTAGGAATGGGGCTGAAAACAAAAGAGCTAAAAATCTATAAAGTAGTACTATTTGGAATAGGGTAATAGTTGGAGTCCCCATGCTAAAGATGATATAAATCACCTGCAAAGTAATTCAGCAACCAAAATAAATCATTTTTGCTATAATAAGAAGCTAGAGTATTTGGGATTCTTTAGTTTGTAAAAAAAATTAAAAGACAATGGAGAAGGGCATGGTCTATGGAATGGGGAAAGTGGAAAAGAAAGGGATTTCTTTTTCACTGCTTCCAAAACATTAGGGCTAAAGTCATTTGATAAAGCTGCCTGAAAGAAGATTAAGAAAAGGAAGCACAGCCCATTATTAACCTGTGGTACTAATTACCATAAAATTAGGTCATAGCACTAATTTGGATGGCTTTGATATAAATTCATGGAGTTTTACCAAGTGCTATTTTCAAGATTCAATATTATCTTTAGACTTGAGGTTCAAGGAATTGTGTCTCAGGGCTGCAAACAATGTTGCATTTCTTTCCATTGATAGTTGGCATGAATGCAAACATTCCCCACTCCCAGAAAACAAGTTTCCCAGTGAAATTTTACCTTCATGCAGGTAAATACATGTAGGACTCTGCTACTCAGCAAGATGGAAGACACCAACAATAGGAGCCTATTGTCCTAGAACCCTTCTTTGATTTGAAATATCCTACTGAAATTCCTACAGATTCCAGTACATATTTATTAAGGTCTAAGACATCATGTGAAATTTACTTTTACTTTAGATAGATTCTGAATAACTAGTTAATGGCAAGTTATATTATCTAGCACAGAGAACATGGGTAATGAAGAAAGAAGGAATCAGAACAAGCACATTTGATTTTGAGGGATAATTAATTCCTGCTTAGCTAAGCATGTATTAGTTTGGGGTATAATTCTCAAGATTGAGATGTGACTATTGAATATTCTACAGCAGTATAAATGGTTTGAGGATTGTGAGACCAAAACGTATAGTACATTTTTCCTTTTTAAATATATTCTTCACTAGTGTATTTTTTTCTTTGTTAACCACTAATAATTTAGAAAATGCGGTCTTTCAAAAAAAAAATCAAAGATGTTTTTGTGTGAAAATAGGAATGTGTGGGGGGTTGTATAGGAAGATATTACAGAAAGCAAATGCATTTAGGTTGCCTGGCTACTCTACTACAGCCTTACTATTTTTATTCACTATGACACTATTGTTCATAATATAAATTGCCATTGTCAGAATAATAAATAGGGCTTCATAATAGAAATACTGGCAGACCCATTAACTATGTCTGAACAAGTGAAGTAGCTCTAATAAAGAAATGGGTGGGACTCAGTTAAGGCAAGCTTATTCCTCTGAATTGTGGATTTTATACTGCTACTGCAATAACCATTGTTATGATTTTTTATACTTACTTTACTTTTGTTCTAGAATGGTGGAAAAGACATCTCTATCAGAGCCCAACCCCCACATTACTCCTATCACTAAAAATGGAGCTACACCATTGGAAAGACTATTATTTTGTGTCTACACTCAAGAGATTAGAAATAGCACACAATAATAAAAGCAGAAAGAATTTATTTCTTTATACTCTCAAAAATTAGACTGTCTCTCAAATATACAGATAAAATTAAATATAAATATAATGTATTTCAACAGATAGACAGATAGACGCACTCCTTTTATCTTAAGAGTAATGGTTATGAAGTAGAAATAAACATGAAGACAAATAAGTTTGGAAATGTGCATGCGCATACACACATATACAGAAAAAGTATACAAAAGATTTCTCTATTTCTATGGGTGAGGAATTTACATGCTAATTGATTTTGTCTGGAAGGACTTTAGGATGACAAGTTAATTAAAAAGATGTACGTGGTGCTGAACCTTACAAAAAACACTCCTGGCTTGTGCGCTGATGTTACTTTAGCCAAGGAATCTATGATAGGTTTGTCTCCTGTCTCCCTCAAAACAAGGTCTGTTCCCAAGTGATTCTTTCTTAATTTAAGAACCTGGGGAAATGAAGTTCATACAACATTTCATATTTTACTTCACAGCTGCATTTGTTTTGTTATTTTGAATGTTAAACATTGGTAGCAAAAATGGATTTCCCTTCAGCCAACAAAGGAACTTATAATCACATCACCTACTGTATATATTAAAGCATACTCATGTCTGACATCCAAAAACACTGCTAGGGGACATTTGTTCAGGGGGACATAAAGTGGCTAACAAGATATTTTATTCAATTTCTCCAATGCAATTTTGAGTCCTCTTGATTTACAGATATGGTTGAGATGATTTGACATGCTCAGATCTAACCACAACGATGAAATAACACATTCACTTCCTATTTTCCCAGGGCCTGTCCTATGCTTCAACCACTTTGTGTTTGCTGCCACTATCCCAGGTTTTTTTGGGGGGTGGGACAGCTTATGACAAGTTTGTTTCTTTGATTGGTGCATCATCAAGCCTTAGCTAATGACTTAGACCAAAGTGATCTTGCTTTTTGATCATAATTTGAGGAGTCAAAATAATTACAGCATTTTAGATTGAGGCTTGCGGCTTATTTATCTTTTGTTTTATCTTACTGTTATTCTGAGAGCTCAAAATAATTGTCTTAATGTAGGATTTGCAAACTTGCAAATCCTACATTAAGACAATTATAGTGAGCTCTCAGAATAACAGTAAGATAAAACTAAAAGATAAATAAGCCGCAAACCTCAATCCTTCCAGGTAAAGACTGGAAAGGATAAAAGGTAGCGTAAAAATATTATACTAATGTGTGTGCATGTATCCAGTTACAACTACATCTACATAATATATATGTATCTAATGCAAATACATTTGTATTCTTCAAATGTCTAAATCTGGCTATGCTCTGTGCAATTAATTAGTCTAATTTGGGCACCTCCCAACAAACAGTTAAAAAGAACATCAAGAATAATCCATACATATATCTATTAAAACCACCACTTCATGCTAATGAAGATAAATAATTAAATATTATCTCATTTCTGCCCACCTGGCAAATTTGGGCAGAATCACTGCTCTCCAAATCCCTTCAATTAAATATCATAGAAGCTGTCTTCTCAGTCACGTCCTCTACCCTCTGTAGCAGCATCACCCAGAGATTACAGAAAGCACCCACTCCCTTGGATTCTGCTAGAAGGCCTACAAACAGATTGTGCCTGTGAAACCTCTATTTATCATTTTTTTTTACTGTTTTGATTAATGTGGTTGCCTTAGTCAGGGATGTCTTATCTTGCTTGGTGCATTTTTAATTAAATAAATAAAAATAGGATTTCATTGTTCTCAATTGCTTCTGTTTCTAGTCAATTTACTACTGCCTGTGATACTTGTTTCATTAAAATATCATCTTTCTCACTTCCTCTTTTTCCAAGACAACACATCACATTTTATGGAGTTGCATGAATCTCTCCAAGGTAAGAAACCTAAAGATGCTCTTTATCCTGAGCAACCCTAGGCATCTCCCAATAGTTCTGCCCTTGTTAGCAGTCCGAATTTAGCTTCCAGCTCCCTGGATTTCCTCCAGGGTCCCAGCACACTCTGCAGCAAATGTGATGCCCTGTTCTCCTGATCTGGAGCTCCAATATAGAAGATATACTTCTGCAAGTAGTTCATGCAAGTAGATGCAATAATTCCAGCAACTCCTATCAGACAAACCATCCTACTTGGGCCCCACCACAACTGTTGTATAACAGTTGTATAACAATTTTATAAAATTATAAAATTATCATTATATAACTTTAGATAATAGAACTGATTGAGGAAACCCGAATATTGAAATTGTATTCAGAAAAACAAGAAATTGTATAACATTTGTGTGTCTGAGAGAAAATATAGTTCTAGAAAGTCTTCTTAGTGGAGATATTATTATTATTTGACAATAGCCTATGAATCTTTTTCAATGATTCCCTGAAAGACAGGAGAATAAGATACATACAAACGCTCTTCTTTTTCATGATCTGGTCATCGAGGACAAAACTGAGTATACCTATAAAGTGACTCCAAACAATAAAATAACAGACCTAAACTAACCTTAATGCTGCTTTAAGATATGTAGGGTTATAAATCTTACATCTCCCATGTCTCCATTTTGTTCTCCCATTTTTGAGAGCAATAATATAGCAAAAATGTTAGCTTCTGCTCCTACTTGGTGACTTATGCATTCATATATTCAACTTTTGGCACCATATCAATGCAAGAGATCAAGAGGCCAAGAATCTAAAATACAGATTTCTTAGTCAAGAGCAATCTGAGTAGGAAAGAAGAGAAAGTCTTGGTAGCATCTAATGCACAAGTATTTTCATTTCATCCCTGAAGCTCTTTTGATCTACCTTGAGGGGCATTTCCTACCTGGTAATCCAAGGATAGTCAAAAATGGACGGCACTCTGTAAGACCATTGCTCTCTGTGGTGCAGGTACGCCATAACCCCTGGGAAGTATAGACATCCGCGATAGGATTGTTCATAAGATCTTGCGTGCTCCATTGGTTCATGCAAGTAGATGCAATAATTCCAGCAACTCCTATCAGGCAAACCATAAAGCCCAAGGTCTGGCATATAGTCACAGGCATGTTTGTGGCTTTCTATGAAAATGGGCTTGCAAGGTGTAATAGTAGGCCTGTGATCTCCTCTGCTTACCTGTCAAACAGAAAGGGGCTTTTACTGACAGGTGGCTGCACACGTCACTAATGGGTCAGGAAATCTGCCCTGTGCCATAGAGACTCGCCCATTTCCCTTTATCTCTTTCAGTTAGATTATTTGCCTCGATCGGTACCAAGGGCCATTTGTTACTCTTTCAGCCAGTGCCTTGTTCTCTATTTACTTTTTGATGGTAGTTTTCATGACTAATTGAAAGATTGGCATTAAGCTGATCTTCGCAAGCACCAGTCTAGAAAGAAATGTTGGTTGTACTGTAAAAATAGACTTATTTAATGTTAAAAACAATGTTAGGTGCCATTCTCTTTTCATAATGTAGTTTACTGTTGCAGTTTGAATGTAAAGATAAAGGTAAATGCTCCCCTCGCATATATGTGCTAGTCGTTCCTGACTCTAGGGGGCAGTGCCCATCTCTGTTTCAAAGCTGAAGAACCAGTGCTGTCCAAAGACGTCTCCGTGGTCATATGGCTGGCATGACTAAACGCTGCCTGAAGATTTGCCGGCTGCTGATTGGCTAAGACACAAGCAACCGTTTGGCGGGAGAACGCAGCCTCGCCATTGGGCCACCCGTCTGACAGCTCTTTATATAGCAGCTGTCAGATGGGTGAACCAATGGCGAGGTTGTATTCTCCTGCCAAGCAGCTGTTGTTGTTGCCGGTTCGGAGTTTGCCTTGTTAATGTTAGCAATAAAGGTTGTTATTATTCACAATCTGACTTGCCTCAGTTCCTGCCTGCCTAGTTCTCCATACAGAGCAGTTCTTATTTTTTTACGTGCTTTCGAACTGCTAGGTTGGCAGAAGCTGGGACAAGTAATGGGAGCTCACTCCATTACAAGGCGCTGGGGATTCAAACCGCCAAACTACCGACCTTTCTAATCGACAAGCTCAGCATCTTAGCTACTGAGCCACCACATTTGAATGTAGTTTACTACTAATACTACAGATTAGCATGGAGGTAGTATGATTAGACAGACTTTGATTTTAACCATATCCTCATGTTCCAGTAAGGTGTTAGTATTGAAAATATTTTCTACTGAAATACTTGAAATGATGAAAACTAAGATTTATAAAATAAATAATACCATGACCTTTATTTAAATATACATTGCTAAAAACATCATTCTAATTAAATCCCAAAAGCCTTAATCAAAAATAATGGCATATTCATTTTTCTGTTTTAAATTATTATTATCCTGTTTTTCTTTTTTTTTTAAAAAAAATAGCAGTATCCAAAAGAACAAGAGTTCAAAAGTTTTTCAGCTAGAAACCAAGTAGGAAATGGGGAAATATTGACTGCCAGGAAATTCCACATTTCTCATGGCCAGTCACCCTACCTATAATGCAGAGCTGTGTGATAATATGACATTAATCACCAGTGACTGGATTTCATCCTGTTTTCTTGATAATGAAAATGACTTTATCCAGAATACACCTCTTGTACTAACTGATGATTACAGTGTGATTTTTTTGCTATTTTATGATCTAGAGACCGAAGGGTGAATGTTATGTTTTCTCATTGGGTGTCATGGCAAAGATGAAAAAGTCAGGTCAATAAAAACTAAACATTTTTTTTCTTCTGTTCAATTGTGTTCAATTCTCAGAGACTGTCTGGACAAGTCCCTGCAATTTTCTTAGCAAGGTTTTTCAGAAGTGATTTGCCTCTTTCCCAGGACCGAAAGAACATTATGGTCCAAGGTTACTGGCTTGTGCTTAAGGTGAGACTAGAATTTGAACTCATGGTCTCCTGGTATTCCAGTTTGGTGCCTTAACTATTACAGCAATCTGGCTCTCTAAACCTAATTTAGTAGTAATCAAATGAAAATTATTATAAAATAACTTTTCTGTGAATGTATTTATTTTTTAAATTTATAAGCCACTAATCCCGCTCTCCAAAGACAGAATCAGATCCTAGGATTTTGGAAGATGCAAACCAGTGATTCTTTACTAAGATTCTTAAGGCAAAACTATAATGAATGTTTTCCTTCCATCTATTTTGTTGGCAAAAGTATAATGAATGTTTTCCTTCCGTCTATTTTGTTCTTCTATTCCTCAAACAAAAGTCATAATGATTGCATATATGCGTGCATATTTACCATTATCTGAGATTGGTCAGGATGTAGGTTTTTGAGAAAGCCTGAGAACCCCATCATGTGAAGTGTGGTTATTTATAAGCAGAGTGGTGGAACTAGTGAGGCCCAGCACCTTGCACCAGTATGAATATGGGCCCCTGATTTTTCTTTAGAGTAGAAGCACCCCATATTACCCTCTTCCATACTCACTCTGCTGGTGGTGGTAGTCCCTTGATTTCTGCCACTCCAGACATACATTCATGCCATCCCGTTTTATTTCATTTTATTATTTTGCTTTTTACAAGTTCATTGGCAAAAGGCCTTTTTTCTCTACAAGCTCCTTGATGAAAAATAAAAAGAGCCTTCCTTCCTTCCTTCCTTCCTTCCTTCCTTCCTTCCTTCCTTCCTTCCTTCCTTCCTTCCTTC